ACCAAGCGGCTCACTTCCCTACCGCCCACAAATGACCACCTGGGGCACGAGAAGAGCAAGGGCGGAGGGCGTGAAAACGGGGCTTCCATGGCGGAGCCAGGAGAGGCTGGAGTCCAGCAGGGCTACACGGGGGCCCTGCCCTGTAAACCCAGCACACAGAGATGCCAACTGGGAAGCGCACCCCTAGTGGGTGACTAGGACGAACGTGGCTCTCAGAACCTCAGGCAGGCCTTGCGAGGCGGCAGTGCTAACTGCATAGTGGTCGCCGTCCTGGCACAGTCCCATGGCAACGCAGTGCAGAGCAGCCGCGGCACTGAACACCAAGGCCTCGGTCCGGTGCCTCCCGAGGAGACTGCACACTGCAGGCACTCTCATCAGGATCGCTAGTTGTGAACAGCAGCAAGGAGGAGACTGCGTCACCTGTCGGCTCACACCCAGGATGTCCAAGAGGACAACAGGCTGCAGAGTCCAGCCTGAGCCTGCCAGGAAGACCAGCAACCATCAGCGCTCTTGAGCTGCAGGCTGGACCCTGGATGAGCATTAGACAGCGTCCGAATGCATCCCACAGAACGCAGAGTGTGTGGGGGCCACACGAGGAGAGCCGAGCCGTGGGCGCAGGAGAGTCCTGACTGCCCAAGGGCAGTGAAAGGCTCTTCCACAGCAGGGTTCTGTTCTCTGCAGAACTTCCCCAGGCCCTGCAGGGCCACCTCCAGGAGCTATCCACACATCAGTCCTGGACCCAATGAGGATGGTGGTGCTCGGGACCGGGTCTGACGGGGGCAGAGCTGTGCTCACTCCATCTGTGTGAAGAAAGGCACCGTGGTCCTCTGCTACTAGCCAACCTCCTCACTTGCCTCCAACAGCAGAGAGGGACACCTTGTGCAGACCCAACCCTAGCTGCCCAGCTGTCTCCTGTGGATGTGAGGGGACAGCCCCAGGAGCTCCCTATGGAAGCAGAAGTGACGAGGACTCGGAAGACCACTCGGGGAGGGCGGCTTGCCCTGCCCCCAGCCTTCCTCTGTGGCTTACAGACCAACACTTCACGCCCGAGGAAGGCTGCAGGAAGGCTCTCGACTCTCTTCCCCTCCAGCCCCTCCACACACTCCTCTGGTGCAGGCGGCAGTAGCGCCTTTGGATTCTTGGACACAGCTACAATGAGGGCAGCTGGCAGGTTTTTACACATTCCCAGCAATATCAAGAGTACGACAGATTTACGGGTGAAAAAGCCCAAATGTCCATGTATACCCCATTAATAATGTGTAGAGATGAAAGCTTATACACCCCATGTGGTGGCCATTCCTCACCAGGTAATCCAGGGCCAGTGCCAACTCCATTCCCTTTTCTACCCTCCTACCTGGGGGACCAGGTGCAGACAAGGAGGTCTAGAAGAAAGCCTACATTCACCTTCTCACAAAGGAGGCAGCTGGGGCCAGCACTGGCTTCCCCACTCCTTCCCACCACACACAGACGAAATGCCTGGAGCCGAGGTGGGCAGGGGGTAGCAAAGGGGTGAGAGCATCAAATGGAGAAGGACGTGGAGCAGAAGGTGCTGCAGTCTGGTCCACGAGGCACTACTGAACAAGTCACTCGTGTGCCTCAGAGATCCTATTAGTGAAAGAGGCAAACTGCTGTTGAAAAACTAATAGTGCGTTTTTCACTGCTTACAGCTGAAGGCTGTTCCAAGGCAAATGCTTGAGCCTGAAGGAGTCTGTTATCACTCCTTTCTAGGCTGGAACTTGAGGATGTGCCCTGGAAGAATAAAGGAGAGCACCAGAAAGAGGAAGTCATGTGTCCAGAGCACAGTGGATGTATCCAGGAGAGCAGGACAGCAGCGAGGGCAGGCCGTGAACAGCCATTGGTGGTGGTGGCCACAGCAGCAAAGGTCTGGGACACAGGGACCTTGAGGAAGGCATGTTTCAAGATTTGATGCTACCCTTGAAAAGCTGGAGAGGCAGGATGTGTTAAAGATCTGTAATTCTGGAGAGTCCATCCCCAGGAACACAACTCCTATAAAACTGGGAACTGCAGCACCTTATCCAGCCACTGACTCCACAGACGTCTGCGTGGACACGAGCAGACACCAGTTCCCAAGCACCAGGCACAGAGGGTTTGATGACAGCCAGAGAACAGAAAGTGATTACAAAAGAAAGAGCACAGAAGACGAGAGCTGGAAAGATGAGGCAAAGGAAAGCAAGAGGCCTGGAAAGTAAAAGGCATGAGCTACTGCTAACGCAAACAGGAGGAAGCGCTGAGCGCGCCGAGCACTCGGAGCCCTCAGAGCCCAAGTGCAGCGCTGTCCTGGGCGGCAGGAGAGACAGGAATGGAGACTATGACACACTAAGTATGCTTTTGCTCGAGTCTTCACTACCGGAATCCAGCCCCATCTCTCCAGTGCTTAGAGGCAAGTCCCTGGTGGCCCCTGAGTCGGTGTGTCACGGCAGATGCCCGTGGGAGCCTAAAACAGGTGATGAGGAACAGCAGTGTGCTGTGCTACCTCAGCCATGGGGAGAAGGGCTGGCAGTGGCGCCCTGTAGCAACAGAGCCCAGCCAGAGTGATGGGGCCAGGCTCTGGGGCTAGGGCCTACTTTTCCATTATAAATAAACCTTCTGACCATTTGATTTGTTTTAAACCATGGCATATACTAATTTGGTAAAAATGCTTACTTACAAAAGATTATTGAAAAGCAAAGAGACTTGAAGATTTTAATTTTTAAATGACAAAATAATATGACATGATGAAAAATATAAGGAAGATTCCTGAGTGACAGGTAGGAACTTTCTGTGTTGAAGTCGCAGCTGTGTGCAGCTAGGCCCGGCGTGCTTCATGCCAGTGTTCCTGCAGGGAGGGGCACCCGGCGCGGCCACCCACAGTCCCGGGACAAGCATGGTGCCCCCAGCAGGACAGAGGCTAGAAATCAGCCCTGAAAACTGATGCCACTCTTATTTGGGTGTGTGCTAATTTATTTCTCAGAGGCTTTCTGGTCCAACTAACCTTTTTCTTGCATTATATTAACCAGTTTTTATCCTCCTCATCCTCTTTTATGCACAGGTAGATCCCCACGCAATCTGGGCTGCCACAAAGACAGAAAGCACAGGGAAGTGCGTCTCTCTCATCCTGGTACAAACCAAGAGAACAGCAGCAAGACTCTGTGGTTTCTACACACTGACACAAACCACTCACTTGCCAATTTCGCTCAGGTCACATGTTATACAACAAAAAGTATTAAAATATATTGTAAATTGACAAAGAAATCGGCTAGCTGCAGAGGATAAGAATGTCCCTCACAAGCCATGTGGGATCGCTGTTTCTACAGCAGATGGTAAAAGGACTAAAACAAACGCTACGATGTTAGCTGGGAGCCAGATTCATCACTTCAATCTCCACTGTTTCTGAAGAGACAAACTGAATGATGGCCATTACCGGCAAGTGTGACAGAGACACTCAGACTGACCCACACTGTGGTCACACAAAGAGTAAAGTCAGAACGTAGAGCTAACTGTAAGACTCGAAGCCCAGCATTGCTGCCTTGCCCTTGCCACCCCAGCGGACCTGTTATTCCTTTTGATCTACTTCATGAAGGATGAGGCGACTAAATAAAACTTTCCAAAAAAGACACATGCAAACCTTTTTGCTGCACGCAATGAGGTATATAGCATCTTAGGCTGATTAATCCTGGCAACATATAGGACACACACAGACACCCCACGTGCTGCAAGCAGAGTTTTGCTGGGCCAAGCCAGCAAGGTGCGCCTTCTGCAGGACGGGGTGGGGTCTGCGCTCTACCGCTCAATCAGCTACCCTTCCCTCAGCCACTCCGCCACTCAGACATGGAATGCAGAAATCAGCCAGGATTCTTTGGCATATTTATTGACATATTACAAAAAAAGAAAAAAAAAATCGTTTTTGCTATGTTTATTACTTGATGTGAGCAGATGCACATGGCCTCTTAGTGCTTTGGGTGTTTCTGTATCACCCACCCCTGGGTAAACACAGACAAGATGCCTGAGAATAGGGTAAAAATTTGGTGAAAGGAAACTTGATCTTTCCCTTCTCTTTTTACAGAATGCAAAACAAACAAAGAAGCCAGCAAACAAACCTGTGGCTCCCGGTTCAATTTTCAAGGATAAAGGGCATTATATTTATCAGTCACTCCTATGCAATGTTCTGCCTGAGGACTTCATTTACACACATAAAATATTAAACTGCAGACATGTTAACTTAGAGTTCTACCAAATAGAATTTCAAATTTTGTTGCTGAATCCCTCAGCATTATCCTCTGATGAAATGTGAAAAACATAACAATACGTTAAAATTGAATGGACCCAAAAAGTCTTGAGGAAACATACCAAAGGCTATTTTTTGTTCCTGGATGGAGAATTTCCTGCACTGCAACCAATCAGAATTCGTGACGCCCCCGGGGCTGAGGGCTATTTTATTCTGACACTCCTGCTTGGGTAATGGGATAGAAGCCTCTTAATTGAAACAGCCTCTTCGGCTTCTCTTTAGAATCCACCATTTAATTCAAGTGTCAAATATTAATTAAAACAATCAGAACAAATATCACTCCATTAGCCCAGCACCACACAGGCTCTCCAGCCCCTCCATAGGAGCTACCAGTGGAAGCTATTTGGGTTTCAACCATTTAGCTTGGTGGGTTTGGTTTAAAGGGAAAATAAGTTGGACAATAACAAAGACAGCGCAGCAATAAGGTTGAAACTGAAGAGACGGGTCCATTTCTCCAAAATCAGAAGCATCTGTACCATCTTGATGGTATCTGAAAGGTGAAGACTGCTACAGCACAAATGGGCTCTATTAATGTTATTGCTTAATTACTGCTTCAATTAGAAATGAGGCCAAGTAGAAAGAAAGATAGGCCCATCCACATACGCCACCCACAGCCCCAGTTCTGGAGCCCTCAGCTCTAGAACGCCACCTGATTCAAAGATGCCCAACATTCCCAGCTTCCCACCAGCCACACCCTGGGCGGGAGAACCCTCACCTCCAGCTCCTGCTCCCTCTGCAGAGCAAACTGCTTGAAGGACTTGACGATCAGGCCAGCGTTGGAGCAGTCATAGACAAAAATAGATGGGCTGCCCATCCAGGTTTGCAGGTCGTATATAGACAGAGGGATATACTGAGTGTAGTTCTGAAAAACAAAGAAAGAGCACTGGTTAGATGTGCGTCCCCAGCTCTTGGGCTGCTGCCAGCTCCTGTGCGACAGAGAAGGCACAACAGGCTGCGCCAGCTGGTGGGCAGACTTCCCCCAGTAACCATTCATACCAAACAACAGGTGACAGCAGACCAGACTCCACAAGGGCACTGACTCCAGCAGTGCCAAGGGCTGGGCAGCTGTCCACATCTGCAACCCTACTGCTGCTCTGTAGGTCCCTGCCTAAGCTGCTTGCTGAACCTTAGGAGATGTGCTCATGCCCGCCACATCCCTCCATGTGTCCCCCAGGCATCACTCAATGTGCAGGATGTGTGTGTGTGCCGCCATGCACCACGCTGCAGCTGGCCCTTTCTCTCTGCAGCTGCCCTCTGCTCCCGTCACATACGCCTCCGGTGTGAAAAGGGAAGTCTGAGGAGCTGTATGATTTCACTGAGGCCCAAAAGCATTTCAGCCTCTTGGTGACTTCCTCAAAGGGACACAGTGGGTTTGGCCCTGCACTTTCACTCCCAAATCACAGAAGTGATAACCTATGAACACTAATTGGCTAAGTGAGACCCTGTTGCCAGACACTGCAGTGTCCCCTGGAGAGGTCTGTGACACTGTACGCACAGAGGGGAACGCCTCATCTCACTGAAGAAGCAGGACGTGCACCTTAGTGGCATCGTAGGGCAGTGCTTCTCGCTGAGTGCCTTTACTTGCCTGCCTTTCTTGGACGTCAATAGCGTCTGTGACAAAGCTTTGGCAGAAATAAAATTCTACACACTTAAAGGCGAGTTTTCTTCCCAGGAGCTGAGCATAAATATGGCTTCTGATGCTACCTATAGGGTTGTCCATGGCTCGACAGGAAGGCCAGGCAAGGCCTGGGGAAATGTGACCAGGAGGTAGCCCCAGAAGCTGCCCAAATGCGCAGAAAGCACCAGGTGTGCAGTAGCTCCCCAACAGGAGGACAACATGAGCCACCAACAGAGGCCGGCTGCTCACACTGCCATCTCCTCTGGGGACAATGTCCCCTGTGCACAGTTCACAGTGCTGCACTCTGTAGGAGAACAACTGGGAATGTCCTCTCTAAAAAAAAACTCTCCCTGAAGGGGTCTAGAGACGCCCACCTTCCCGTGAGAAATCTACACCGTCAACACAGACCATCAAAACACCCGTGAGGTTCTTCATTTAATGGAACTTGAGAAGATGATTCTAAAGTGAGTGCAGAAGAGAAATGCACAAGATTAGAAAAAAAGCTTTAATAAAGAATAATGAATAGAGACTTGCACCACCGACATTAAACAGACTATAAATGTATGGTGATTACAGGCTGGCACCAGCGAGGGTGAGACAAACAAGTCAACAGAAGAGAAGGCCCAGAAACAGACACACATACATAACTGTAACGAGGGTGGCATTTTAAATCAGCACAGGAAGAGCAAACAATTCAATGAGTGATGCCAGTAAGTCGAGCTGGTGGGATACTGCCATCTCTGACTCACCCCAGAGCACGGTAGGTTAGAGACCAACTGAAAAAACAAAGGTTTTTACTTATTTTGGTGTAAGAAAAACATTCTTAAACAAGTTAAAAAAAATAAAAGTCTTAAAGAAAAAGACCAACAGATACAATAAGACAAAAATTATATAATCCTGATAAAAACACATACCAATGACTGGCAATTACAGAAGAAAATGGACACAGAAGTGAGAGAATTTATATCTGGAAGGTGTGCACAGATGCTGCTGCTGCAGATCAACAAAGCCAAAACAACAGCAAAGGCCAAACCCTCAGGCAAAGACCCAACAGGCAGCTCACACAAGAGAGAGTCCACCACGACCAGCAGTGTCGTGCTGCTGGGCGACCACGGAAGTGCAAACTACAGTTACAGTCTGTTAGTCCGTCCTATTCTACGTGTTCTCATATAGTAAGCCAGAAAGAAAAGGACAAATGATACCGCACGGTGAAAGCATCTGCTGAACAGGGCGTGAAGCTTTTCTGGAAGCCAGTTTTGCAGCGCTGATAAAAGTTTTAAGTGGACTTTGATTTGACCACTTCTGTGCTCCGCCCTGCAGGAGCACTAGTGTACACACACATACTTCCTCCTACAGGGATGATGGCGTGTGTACCTGATGCCACTGTGACAGACACTGCTATCTGGTGTCTGTTTTCTCCCTCTGCTTTACCAAGAATCTTAGTTGAACACGTTGTTCAGATTCCTTTGCAGCTAAATCCATCCGAGTAACCAAATTTTCAGCAACGGCACATGACCAAAAGTGAAATGCCCACATTATATACCCTCAAAGCCCCCACTCTGCTGGGATGTGGACGTGGGGAACCAATACTGACCTTGAAAAGGACCACAGCTAAGGGCCAGGAGAGCTGGGAGTGGAGGGAACCTGGCCCCAAACAGTCTACGGGGCTGTAACAGGGAAACACATCAAATTCTACTTTACATCTCAAAGAGAATCCCCTAATAGAGTGGCTGAACCTGGAGCCCATCATGGATCCCAGCATATCCAATACAAGGAACCAACAGGTCCTCAGGGAATGGGGCACCTGCAGTCTCAGCTACTGGGAGTCAGAGGGAGGAGGACCCTGTGGATGGGAGCTTGAGGGCAGCCTGAGAGGTATGGAGACTTTGTTTCAAATAAAAAAAGGATCAACAGGCAAAGTAGGGTCCATACATCCATATGGGAAATATTATGCCACATTATAGACTGAGGTTATTTTCATAAGCACTCACATGGAAAGACATCAGAGGCTTATTTAAAATGTAAGTCTTAGAACATCATAGATTGTCACATGGGCTCATGCTGTATAAAGGATAAGAGGAGCCATGAATGTAAAGCACCAAGCTGCCACCTCCTGAGCCCACTTCATGCCGTGGAATGCAGCAAGGGGTCACAGATGGGCTACAAGAGTGAACACTAAACCCAACACGGGCCGTTCCTGGGGGAGGTCAAGCCTCCCTTCATACCTCTGTGATGCCGGAGCTCCAAGGCTCAGAGGGAGCTGCTCTCAGCAACAGCCCTCCCGCCCTCCCCTCTTAGGGCCCAAGGCTATAGTTCCTGCAAATGGGAGGACATTAGCAAGCGCCACATCAGACAGGCCCTGAACCAGCCAGCAGGACGCCTTGAGGTCTCCCTGGGTTGGGGCCAAGATGTACCCTCTAGTTGGGCAGGGCCCCTACACTACAGGAGAAAGATGGCGCCCGCATCCTGGAGAGGGCACATTTGTCTCTGCCGAAAACTGTGCTGTTCATGCACCCCCCACGAAGTTTCAGGACCAGGAAGATTTTGAACACAGCTCACCCTCTGGGTCCTGACCCTGCTGGCAGCAGTGCCATCCCTGCAACTGTAGTGACGTGAGAGATGCTGTCATAGTCACTGCCTTCCAGGTGAAAGTGCACAGGTCCCACAGGTAGGAAAGAATGAAACAAAACAAGTCTATTTTTTAATTTTGCCAAAATCTAGGCACAAAGTTAATCAAGGCAACTCATTAATGAAATACTGATACATTAGGAAAACCATTTATGACTGTCTTTTCATCCTCTGTAATCCACTGGCAGCTGAGTATGGGCTCCAGGTGGATCCCACTGCCCAGTGGCACCTGGGCTGCAGCCACCGACCTTCCACTTGGGCCTTGGCCTCATGACTTGAAACGTGAGGGTCTTCTGTCACATCCCACCACCAGAATGCCCCACAGAGGGCTAAACAGATGCCTGCATGGTATGTGGTAGCCCAGAAGGAAAAGCTTCTGTGGCCACTTCCTGGACAGCATCTCTTCTCTGCGGCACTGTGGAGGGCCATATAACTCTGTGGAGTGTGTGCTGTGTGCTGCACCTGGTCCAGCAGCAACCCTCGGCTTTACACACCTCAAGCCAGAGCCACCTATTCCCTGCCCAGTATGATAATCAAAAAGGTCTCCAGATGGTGCCGAATGTCTCCTGAGGAGAAATTCTGCCTGGATGGGAACTGGTACCGAGGAAGGGAGACAATTTCATTTAATACTTGAGCTGCATATGTTAAGTTTGGAAAGATTGCCTCACTTTGGAAGTTGATACCCCTCAGGGAGTATGAAATCAACTCCATTAAATTGCAGTAAGGAAAATGACCTTTGAGAGCTACTGCTTATTAGAACAGGAGCCTGTGGGCCTCACTTCCCACCTCGGGATGGTCCTGGGTAGTCTGTCAAGCTCCAGGCCAGAGTTACGGCCTTACAAACCAGCAAAGGGCAGTGGCGAGTTAAAGCCCCAGCTCTGCAGGAGGAGCCTGCAGAGGCAGGCGTGAGCAGAGGAAACACATCTGCAGCCAACTGTCTCTCTGTCTACGGACTCTTCCCGTGGCACTGAACTGTCCCATGCAGACAAGCCTGAGCATACAAAGCCCTGCGCACGTTGAAGGCCTGCTTCTACACCCCCCCCCCCCAAAAAAAAAAAACTGAAAGTGCAGAGAATTTCTAATCAAAGCTTCTTTCCTTTCTCTTGAAAAACATATTAAGGCCATTTTTTTATTTCAAACAAAGAAACAGAAATGGGTTTTAGATAATTTATTCATTAAAATCCACTTTATCTGTCAGGTTATATTAAACATCAGAAGAAAAAAAAGCCCACTTGCTTCATCAGACAGCCACTGCAGACCCTGCCAACCACAAACATTGCCGTTCCACAAAGGCCCAGCCAGTACCACCTCCCTCATAGGCGGACGCCTCCTGACCGCGGCTGGGCCAGCTGCTTCTGTGAGCCCGGAGCCTCATGCACTGCCACAGCCTATGGGTTTGTGGTGAAGGGAGACGCTGGGTTCTGGCTTAGAGATGCAATGTGAGAGTTCCCTTCCTTTAAAGTACAGAGTAGAAGACAAAAGGTAAGGTGCCTCATATGCCTGGCTTTTGCAAAAAGATGGTCACAAGAGGGCACAGCCTGTCACCAACAAGGCACCCTGAAGGAAGGGCCAGGCAGAACATTAAGAGGACAAGGTATGGAGAAGGTGGCGGTGAA